GAAGAGCGTTTTGATGTAGTTTTGCAATGAGGGAAAAAGTGTCTCAGGTGTAATGGTGAACTCATTTGTTAAAATGGTTATTTGTTTAGTTTCATGCGAGTATGGTACTTTTTAAGGTGTGGGTCTGTCCTGAAAAGTATTACCTTCTCACCAGGTGTTTTGTACCACCACCAATGCAATCAGTCTTCTGTCACATTTGTGGGCAGTTTTACAGTGAGAGATAGCTGGGAAAAGGAATTAGCAAATTTTGTGTAAAGATCCCATCACAGGTATAGAGAGAGGAGAAAACCAGAAACGCATATAAACATAGTGCTTCTCTGTGTATGAAATAAAATGAAGGCTGTTTTTAAAGTCACACATCAGCTTGTTCTCTCTTTTCTTCCCTACTTTCTTTCCTTCATTTTCATGTATAGTCCTCTCCTCTGCATTCCTGTTTGTGTGTAAGAACACTAAATATCATTTTCTCTTTCTTCTCCTTTTTTGTCTTCTCCTCTTTCTCCTTATTTGTCTCCAACATCTATTTCCCATGGTTTTTTTCTCCCACTTTTGTATGTGTATATTTCCCGTGTTGTTTCCTTAGGTGTTCTTCCCTTCTTGTTTAATCTAGCTGTAAATCCCAGCTTCCTTAAAATATCCATCTTTCTCCGTAACTGCTATTTTCCTGCAGTTTCCTCCATCCTTCTAGTTCTCTCCCTATTTATTCTAGTTCTCTCCTATTTAGATATAAAAATCTCCCTGATTTTTATATGTGTGTGTGTGTGTGTGTGTGTGTGTGTGCGCGTGTGTGTGTGTGTGTGTATTGTGTGTATATGTATTTTATTCTCTTAATTGCTTCCCAGTAGCATTCATAGAACTGTGTGCGTGCAGGACTGTAATTTTAAATGCACAAAATATGTAAATATGGCTGTTCAGGTTCCGATCGGGAAGCAAGAAGTCAATAAACACTATATAGCTCAAATTAGAGTAGGGCAGAATCCTTACGTGCCTTTAGTTTTAATTACACTGTTGTGTATGTGAAACATGCACTTTATTTTAAACTGTTAAAGGCATATATCTACATATGCCTGAGCTGTCATCCGTGCTTACAAATACAATTGCTCTGGAGAGTAGTGAACAGCAAAGAGCAATAAATTACTCTGTGGGTTTAGAGGCATCTCAGCTCCAGTCATTCATGCAGATGTGGTTTATAATGATGAAGAGCATCTGGTCCTCAGTTGGCTTTCTCTTAATCTAAGAAGTTACATTGGCACAAGTCCGAGGAAAGGTCCTATCTCTATAAAAGATGCTTTTGTTTCATTAAAACAGAATATATTTTGTATTTTCCTTGCATGGCCAACAGGCATTCTTGTACATTATTAACTCTTATCCCCTGCCACCAAAGCAAATCTGGGTTAGTATATAATGTGGGCATAGAACTTTATAATTATGCTGTTATTGAGCCTAGAGAGTCATGTTTGACTAAAGCAGGCAGTTTTAAATGGATGTATGAGTGTGATTTAAAAAACTTCAGCAGAGAACCTATCATTTCCACATGAAATGAGTTGATCTAATCCTTAATCACCTACCGAGTTAAACATTTATGCCTTGTGTTTTCAGGGTATTCTGATCAGATGCCATCCAACCAAATCTACTGGAGGCACTAATTTATACGGTTATCACTATATAGGTAATTTAAAGATAAAAGAGTTGTTTTGGTCTTTAGTGTAAAAGCAAAGATTCTTTGATTGTTTGTCATATGTGAAAAATAAAAAATCCAATGAAACTTTCAAATCTGACATTGCGGAGTTGGTAGAAATGATCTCGTGGTCATTTCATCAGACGGGCTCCATCAGAATTACACAGTATTTATATGATCATATTTCTGGAAAAAAACTGCACTTTATAATGATGCCCAAAGATTATATGCTTGTTTTCCTGAGATTGTATCTAGTGTCTTCATTCACTGATTCTAATCATTTGACCTTTCTAAATATCTAATAATTTCTAATGATATTTCTGTTTTTTCCTTGCTGTATGTGCTGGTCTGAAACCTCTTCATAAACAAAGAGAAACGTAAATCCTGTTTTCTGAAATGCCTATGCTTTGAAAGCTGGAATTGTTTTTTAATTTCACTTTCAGCACAGTTCACATAGTTCTAGTAGCTATACTGTTAAACTCATATTTCTGTTTAGTTTAGGGACTTTTAGATTAGGGACTTCAGGTGTGATATTTAATTTTTTCTTGTACATAGCACATTTCATATACACACATGCAATTATACTCCTCTGTCACTGCTATAGTATGTCAATACAACATCACTGCCAGGCTATGTTCTTTCGATTCTGTTTTTAGGGTCAAGGCATAGAGATAACTTACTTCAATACATGATAATAATCATATTGCTTTATTTTAAATGATATACTAGGACTAACTAGGTAGTTAAAGAGCTGCGTTTTCTTTCCTATCACCTTTAAAATATGTACTTGCTTTCTAGCCAGTAGTGTTTGGCGCGTATTCTTCGCTGCCTATCTAAATCTACTTGGAAGTCAGTGACTGCCATGGATTTCAGTGGAATCTACTCCACTTGAAATCCACATGGAAGTCCGTGAAACTTAATTCAGTGAAACATTAACACAACCCTACGTTCTTTGTACTTTGGATATGAAATACTAAACCCAAAAGATGAAGAAAAATATGTATGTTATAAAATATATATATAATATAACTCATTCCTCAGTTCATTAGTGTTTACTTTTTCCACACACAATGGTTAGAAGTTTTGCTTTTTAAATCAGTGTTCATGGTTTAGATTTTGAGTCTCTGAATCCCACTGATGGACGGCATACACTGAAGATAACATATATTATTTGGGTTTCTTTTGCATAGCACCTGATGTGGCTGTAAATACACTCTGTATCCACAGACTTTCAGATACATTCCTCAAACCCCTTCTCCTACTTGTGAAAACAAGGGATAATCTAGAAAATTAGCCTGCCAGTTCCACATTCTTTATAGAAACCTTCAAAAGTTTTTTGTCACAGGGCATATAATCACTGCAAACATCTGAATCAAATAGCCTAGTCAACCCCTGCTTTACGCTCTATTCGTCTGGTGTAACCCTTCCTCCCAGAATCTTTCTCAGTGTGCTAGATTCAATACACGTAGCTTTAAAATCCTGCTCTTGCTGAGTTCAACCAACTTTGTTGCAAAGATAAATTCGCACTCTTCAGAGAATCTCATGTGCAAAGCAGATTTCAGCATGCTGCTCAGCTTTATAAGAACATGCAAGTCATGAGATCTCAATGGAGGTTTCATGTCTTTGCATATTATTTGAAAGTGTTTTTTCTTCTCATTAAGGGAAGAAGTAAGCAACTCCTTCCAACTGCTAGAGATCAGCTTCTCTAGGCAAATCACCTGTACCGGATAAGAAGAACAGCTATATGCCAGAATAACAGCACTCAATCTCATCATCCCAAAGCTTGTTTTTCTTGCAACTACATGAAGCAGTGTCTGTGATGCTTGGTGACCTCAGGTCATTTTAAGGGCTCCCTAAGGAACTGCAAGGACTGTAGAGATAGAATTCAGTCATAACAGAGAACTGTTCTTGAACTGCTTTCTCTGTAAATCAGATAACAGATTCTGTAGTACATACCAATCATAGCTCTTGCTGCACACTAGGTGAAGAAATAATACCATCCTATTGCATTATAAAGAAAATAAACGTAATTTACAGACAACAGATCTTTTGCCTCAGGGAGCAGAAAGGTACTCGCTTCATCCCCCATCTTCTTAGAAGCAATTTGGTATTCCACATAGGAAGTACTTCTATTAACTGTAAAAGCATTTTGGGTACTAGTAATGACTGCAGAGGACTATAATAAGCATTCTGACTACCTTGGTAAACTCCTTTACGGACACCTTTCTGATACAATGGCAGCTTTTTACACAGTTTCCTTCTCATGCCAAAGTCAGAGAAGTTAAGATCTTCCTGATCATTATCGTTCCTTATAACAGATGACATTTCAGCAGTTTGATCTCTTGCATATCTGCTTCTGTCATGATGCTTTTATCTATTCTTCAGTGTGCCCAGACATGATACCCCGGAAGCATAGGATATTGATTCCAGACACGCAGTGATTGAATCTGATTGCTTAGCCGTTGAGTATCTGTGAGAATCATTGTTTTCAGCTAGTTCAAAAAAACTATTCAAGTAGAAAGCCTATTTCTACTAGCAGAAATTATCTTCATTCAGACCAGCCCAATATTTTCTGGATTCAGTTGAAGAAGATTCAGTACATCATTTCTTGAAGTTGTACCTGAAGCAAGCTGGATTGGTGTTTGTTCCATCTGGTAACAGCAATAGCATATTACACTCCAATGCAACCATATTCAGTAAGCTGTAATCAGGTATTAGTGAATTTTTAAGGCCACACTGAACTGAGCCATCTCCTATGTAAGATCCAAAGTGTCCTCCTGAAGCTTTAGAGTCTGTCATTGAGTAGCTATTGAACAAACCATTTAAAACAGTCTTTTTCAGAGCAGCTACCGTGTGCAAGTGCTCCAAGCCTTTGAAATGTGGTTTCACTACCAGTAGCATTTTTGGTGTGGATAAGGTGTTTCTGAGACTGCGTGTCTGAGTTTGATCTTGGTCAGTTGATTATCTTCTCTAAACTAGGTTCCATGCTGAAAGAGAGGAAGCTGTAGCTGAGCATTTATACAGCATGACCCTATTACCTAGGCAGAACGTTCCAGTCATTTAGGCTCTTTAGATGCCGTGAGGCTATCTCTGGCACAATGAAAGGCCAAATTACATAATTACCTGCATAATGCATTGGTAAATATTCTCAATTAGAGGATAAACCTTTTAAATGAAAGGATACCTTTGTCATCTTCATCCAGCTGTAGACATGTGATAGTGTCAGAGATGCATAATGTAGACTAAGCTACAGACTTGTCACATATTGTACTGCTGCTGTGGCAGCATGTCTAGGAAAATAAAATTAAAACAAAAATAAAACAAAAAACAAAAAGTCTCATCCTTGAGAAGGGATACGGCTTACCAACCACCTGCATAGAAATTCAAATTTGGATGGCATGCATCCAAAGGATGTTTTTTTTTCTTTTTAAAAGTTATGAAAACGCATAGTTTTCAGCTTTTCAGAGTTGTCAGCACTGAGGGAACTGTGAATAGTTGCAGCCATACTTATGTAGTCTTATATGGGAATACAAGGAAGAGCAGGTTGTGTGCACAGCCCAGGTGACCATTTGTGCACAGATAGCATACATGCAATTACAGTAGGATCCACAATTACCACATCTTACAGTACCACGATTGGTGCTGATTTTGGTACTGTTTCTGTAGAGTTGGAGAAGAGTTTTCTAGTTTATCATAGGAATTTCAACCTTTCCTGCCCCCTCATATACATATATGTATATCATATATGTATAAAATAGTAAACTAATGTGCAAGGTAGGATTCATCTCACCAAAGCGGTTGGGGCTGCGTGAAAGTGCTCTGATAGTAAACAGCATTTTCTAGCAGATTTTACTTCAGGGAGTCTTAAAAAAAATTATCAGTGAGAAACAAGTCAGGTTGGTTAACAACCTTTATTTTCCTTTTTTTTCTAGACTCCTAATATTTGTATGTTTTTCTAATATTTATATTTATACAGCTTGTCTGTAGCTGCTAGAGATCTTGAGAAATCTGAAATTCTGGGCTTTACAGCTGTATAACAACTCACTTAAGACCTCCTGTATTGTCTGTACTGAGGCAAAAATGGGTACATTTTCACTGATAAAAAGATACCAAATTTTATTTCTAGGACAGACAAGCTTTAATGATAAATATTGAGTGCTTTTACAGTCTCTTGGTTTTTTCCTAAAGGTTTAGCTTACGTATGATAGAATACAAATCTTTTTAGGGACAAGTGAGCTGTTAAAAAAAATTGGTTAATTTTATTTTATATATTTTCTTTATCTCAATTTGAAAGACCTTCTGAAAGGTCTTTTTAGGCTTTTAACCAGACATCCGTCCATACTAAAGAGAATTTAGGATGTTCACAAAAATGCCTGTAGGATTATTCTGACACTTTTTTTATGCAATGAAATGCTCTCCGTCTATTGTCACTATGCCACGTTCTCAGGCAAGTGAATGTTATGTGTAAATGTGCAATGACATTGAAAGACTTGGCAATAGATATAGTACAAGATTGTAGATTTAAAAAAAAAAAAAGTAGAGCCTTGATTTAGGGGGATTAGCAACGTTGTCATCAAATTTGTTGAGGATATTCTTGGAAACTTTCTTTTTTCAAAAGGTTGTTGAGAGGCAGATACTAAAAAATAGTAACTTTTATTTCAACTTCAAAAGCCCCAAAGTATTCCAGAAAATAAAATTCCCAAAGCAGATAAAACTGTCAACTAAATAACGTGATGATCCAGAGCTTTCAGTATTTCACAAATAATAGTATTGCGCTGCAGACAACCTTGAATGTACTTCTTATTGGCTCTGATTTGGGCTCAAATTTTTGTGGTCATGAACTCTGCCGAAGAGTACTATCAGACTCCAAAACGTCCTGCCGTCTGAGTTGGACCTTCTCTCAGTTTTTCCTGAAAGTACACACTCCAAAAACAGAAGGGGCCTTGAGTCTGGAAAGCTAAGTTTTAGAAGATAAACTCAGATAATGAATTTAAACTCTGAACTTTACAAGAACAGAAATAAAAGAGAATTCTAACACATTTCCTCCTGCCAGCTGTGTTCTGGAAAGACAAGTACTTTCACTCAGGCTCACTCGAAGTCCATCAACGTTTTGGTGATATCCTGTGTTAAAACAAACTCAGCAAAGTCCCCTTCAGGTCCCTAAATAATCATTTTCTTCTGTTCCTTTGAGGCTTAGCTGCACCCATGCCCTTATCAACAGATTTCCGGTCCTTGTATTTCCTCAGGTTTTCTGCTGTTCAGGAGGAGGAGCAGGCAGAGGAGAGGGGTAGGTTCCCTTCAGCAGAGCATGCTTATTCCTTGTCACGCATGGAGCAGCTTTTCTGCTTTTTCAAAGCACCTGACCCAATGTGTAGCAACCAGGAGAAGGCAAACAATTAGTTTTATTCTTTGGTGTCCAGCCACCATCTTTTTAAAGGAACATAACTTGCATGAATATACATCCGACTATTTATTTAAGTAATTTGCTTAAATAGTCAGATGTGTTTCACAGCAGAGATCAAAGCAGACTTCATATTGCTCATGAGCCATGAGTTATGAGTCAGTGAAATAATGTAGTTCTTACCCTTCATGTATGTGCAGGAAAATCTTAGGTTGAGAGTTGTACTAAATGTGTTACAAGATTTTCCAGACTTGTAACTTGCTCCTTCTAAGCCCTGAGCTCACAATTCTCATATAGTGCTTTTTGTGTGTTCTGTCATGTTTATTCCAGTTTTTCAAGGTTTGCAGAGAAATTACAGAATTTAACTTGTCTCCTTGTGTTGTTGGGGGGGGTGTTTTTATTAAGTTCTGCAACTACAACAGATTACAAAAAGGATTGAGAGAAGGAAGACTGGTAAGAGTTGCTTATGCAGTAGACTCTAGAATTTCAAGAAATACAGCATTTTTAAGAACTTTATATACGATCTGACTATCTTCACAGCAGGACACTGACAAATCAAAAAGTAAACAATAAATATATGAAGGAGAAATTATTGAAATACAGGATGTGTAGAATCCTGTACCCAGAATTAAGAATTTATTCATGAAAGTGTGTTTAGCAGTTTACTCTCAGACACTGGTGTCTTTGCAGACTAATACTGGATAAGGTGATCATCTTTCCAGATGCTGACAGCATGGTGGAAAAACTGAAGATATGGTGTGTAGGTGTTTAGATAACCCTTGTGAACGTTCTAGTAATGCACACAAGTGTCAGTGACCAATGATACTGATTTTTAAAACAAGTTGTTCCACAAGGAACTAATGTAGGCTTGTTTACCATGGATTTGTGTTGCGTTTCTTTATCCTCCCTTACTATGAGTTTAGCTCTCCTCGTGGACTTCTACACTCCTGGTGCCTCTACACCTTCCACACCATGATGCCTCCTGGTTCTTCATATGTCTCCATGTCCTTCACTTCTTCCTCCTTTCACCCTGGTCCCATATAAAAATCATCCTCATCTTCCTATGAACCAAAACAATCCACTGGGCAAAAGGCAGCAAGTACCATAACTAGGTCTGTGATAACCAGGCAAGCAGATCAAACGGAACAAATATCAGAGCTCATGTTACAGCATTTTTTTCTCTCTGGTAGACACAGCAGTTCAGGTCTTTCTCTCTTCCCTCCTTTATCTAGATACTGAATTTCAAAAGAATTTGTGAGAGCATCGTTGCTTTCAAATTTTTGCCTCTCTGATAGAGTTATGTGAAATTGGCCAACAGTTCAAACTGAAGAAGAGGGAGGTGGGGGTGAGAATGGTGAGGACAGGCACCTGGACAGATAAACTAAGTGACTTGATTAGATGTCCTTAGGAAAACAGGCTAAAACAGAACCAAACAAAGCATAATGAAAACATATTTTAATCTATTTCCAGTTAAACTACTTATTATGAACAATCACATTATATATTGGCACTGTTGAAATGTGTAAAGTTTTTTCAGTGAATTTTCCTGTGAAAACTGGCTTTTTAAAGTTTCTGTTCCCATTATAATGGATGAAGTGAACGTTTCCTTTTCCAAAGTTCAGTTTACCATGAGTCTTTGCTCTATTGATTTTTTTTTCCTCGATTTATTGCCCCATAGGAGCCGTTTCACAGGTGCTGGACAGCCTGGAGGAAATTCATGCACTTACAGACTGCAGTGAAAAAGATTTAGATTTTCTTCACAGTGTTTTCCAGGATCAGCATCTCCACACGCTACTAGATGTAAGTTTCCTGTGATAGGCAGTTTGGAGACGTTTTTGTATCGGTTGTTCGTTAGATATTTTGTTTTATTCTGCATATCTTACATTTTCTTGTTTCATAGCAAAATAAATTTATTTCAGTATGGAATGCAACAAGGAACTAAGACTTGGCACAAAAGTTCATTTTAGTTTATTATATTTACAGAATATTTTAGAGAAGTTACAATGTTGTTTTAATCATATATAAGTGTTAATGGCTTGATTTATCTGTGTTTTAAAATAACTTACCAGAGTAGACTTCTTTTGAAAAAGACTGGATTTTATTTTTTTTATTTAAAATCTGAATTGTAATTTCGTAAGTGCACAGATTCATTCTTTAATTTTTTGAAGAAATGTAATCTTAGACCAAATGTGTGTGAACCACCGGAATGTGCTGGTTTCTGTCCTGTACTTGAACACAGTATATAGTAGCCTCACTCATTTAAATCTGTATTAACATGCAGTTCATGAGAACCGTTAATCTATAAGACAGCAGTATGTGTTGCACAAAAATGAGTGCAAAAATTACAAAGCTGGAAGTTATAGATTAGCGTGCCCTGGTTGGCATAATCGGGATCTAGCTCCCTTTTATTCACTTTCTATCTGTAAGCATAGTTCACTGTCCTGCTATATGTGCAAATCGACTGTGATATCAGGTGGTTCATGGATTTTTTTCTTCCAGAAAGCTGAAGTGATCTATTTTGCAAAGACCGTTTTGAAAAACAAGTAGTGTGGCATTTGAGCAAAAAGTATTTGTGCGCTACTTATCTTTCTGTGCTTCAAGGATTTTCTGTTTTCCAAGTTGCCAGCTCTCCTGTCACGTGCAGAAATTTTGTTTATATTTCTCAATGGCTGTTTAATCAAACAGGTCTAAGGAGCAAATATGCATTCTGCAAAACTGTGTGAATTCAAGAAAATACACATATAGTTTTGAGGTAAAAGCATTTACTAAACTTCAGCTCTCTGCCACTTGGGCTACAGCATGGATCTTCAGCATCACTGCAAGCTCATACTCCATCCCTCACATTTAGTGCAAGAACCCTCTTCTAACGACAAATTCAAAAGTATATTGAACTTTCATTGACTTCTGTGTCTACACAGTATAAGGGTCTAAAATAAAGGTCAAAAAGTAACGGAGGATTTTCCCAACTTTGATTCTGGGGTATGTGGATATTTCATGTGGAAGACAAAGTGCTTCTTTTCAGATAAGATAAACTTTAAACAATCTGCCCATTCAGTAGGAAATCTATTAAGAGAAAAAAAATCAGATGATAGAGCTAAATCCACAGAGGCATAGGCTATGCCTACATTAGCAAGCAGTGCAACACAAGAATAGCAGACCAGTAGAGCAAAGGAGTCTGACACTGAGGACCAAACATCTACACTTCTGAGTGTTTTGAAGGTTTTTATTTTAGGTTACTTGTACTCTAGTCCTGTGGTCTGAATAACCACTGGTGGATGAGCCACACTTTCTCATTTAGTGTCATTTGAAACTAAATATGCTCTGGGAACACTCTACTGTGAAAACCAAAGAGTGGTAGGTGGGCATAATCAGAAGATTCATTTCAAAAATGCACTCCTGAATCAAACCAAAATGCTCATGTGACTGTATAGATGCTGATCATTTTGTTACAATGTCTTAAATTTTACAACTTGGATCTCTCAATGAGTATTATAATTCTAATAAGATGTCTGTGCTTTTTACGCAGTTAAAGGCACCCAGAAAGAGGATTCATTCTGGTTATTGTGCTCATCAGGTAGATGATTACAGCAGTGGAAATTCTGAAAAGTTTCAGAAAAATTGTTGAATCCTTTAGTTCCTACCTGCACCTTTGCAGGGGTAGGATCCAAATATAAATGGTGCCTTATTTCTTTTGGTGTCAAAACTCTTTCTTTAAAACACAATAGAAGATATATATGCAGTTCTTGCAAACTGTTTAATGGTTAGTGAATAGTGGGCCACCTGGATTCTGTGCATCCTTCAACTTTAAAGGATTCAGATCCACACATGCTTCCTCCCAGAGAAGTACCCAAATCACAAGGTTCTGAACTAGCCTGTGTGGGGATATAAGCCTTCGAGTACAGCTTTCCCACGATTCAGCTAACCGTACAAGAGTCAAGGAATGAGAGATAGTAAGTTAGCTGTTAAGTGATGAGGGCATTCCCCTGGCACAAGAATCCACAGTTCTAATCTGTGTTCTCAATAGCTGTTTGTGCATTTTACATTAAACAAGCATTGGATTACAATTTTGTGAAGCACTTAGAAAGAAGGGATGAGGAGCTCATGACTTTCTTGAATTGCATCTTCACCAATTCATTTAGAAGTACCTTGCCATTTATGTTAAAACTATGAACCTTTTTATCCAGTGTGAATTCATTTAGCTTCTGTTCCAGATGCTTAAATTGTTACATCTTTCTATATTGCATGCTGCAGTGTAGAAAGGTGGTCAGATGATATGAAGAAGATATAAAAGTCTAGACAGAAAAAGAATAATATGAGTGTAATATAAGAACCTAAACACTTGTATCACTTATGAATTTCAGATATTTATTAATTAGGTCACCTTTATAACTCCTTATTTTTTGATAAACCAGATGCCCCTAATTTAAATATTTCACTATGTGGTATGCTTTCTTATGTCTTCTAGACATTAAATCATCCTTCTGCAAAGTTTTCACTTTTTCCTCTGTTGTTTTTCATCACCAGTCTGTTCATAGTATTTCAGTAATGAGCTACTATTTCTGTAATGGTCTGCTGTAGCCTTTTAAACGAGAAAAAACTGCAGTGAATTCATGTAATTTTACCATGCTTTTTAAAAGCCATGGTCATTTTCTTACAGAGACAGGAAGAGATATATTTAAATGCACACTATAGCAATAGATTTGTGCAAACAAAACACTATGAAGAAGCAATTTTGTGTTATTGTGCTATGTTGAAGGGGGGAAATGATACAATCTTCCCAAAGATGTTCTGATTACACCAATGTTACAAAATATGCATTTGAAAGTATTGGAGCAAGTTATAGGCAGTATTATATAAAAGCACAAGTTTTTCATTTCGTAACTTGGATGAGGCAGCTCGATTTCTGTGTAGCTGTCAATACGGTGCCAGTTTTCCTCAGAACTCTGAAAAAATTCTCTGTTGGGGCTTGAGTGAAGTTCTGCCAGTGCAACTTCATTCCCCTCACAGTATTTGGGCTTAATGAGGCCCCCAGAACAAGTTACCTATGAAGCACTGTATTCCACTAGGTAAGAACATTATAATCTGTTATGTTTGTGGCTGTCAGATTGCATTAAAAGCTGCTGTTCCTTTTTCTTGGCCTTCTTCCACAGTTAAATTTGTTCTCATGTTCCTACTGTTTCTCAAGAGTCATCCTTATTTTTAGAGTAGGCACATGATAGATGATCCCTGCTGCTGTAATACCTTCTTTTGCTTCTGAACTGAAAAGCGAAAAAAGGAGAACTGTCTTTGTGCTAAGAGTGCAAGTTACCTACTTGTGTTTTTTTTTTCCCCCGGATAATATAGATCACAAACTAGAAGATGCCTTCTTTCTCCATAATTTTTTAACTTAGGCATTAAGAGGTATCATCTCTGAAGGCTACAGAAAGCAGGGTTCCTATCATTCCATTGATTTGATTTTTTTTTAATTGATTCATTTCTACAAGTCTGTTTAGGTAGCTATCTTAAGACTCTCTTCCACCTTACTCAGGTGTCAGAGCTGTTCAAAATAACACTTCTTGAAATGCTGATGTTTATGAGGATTCAATAGCACAATCCTTAAAGCTGAAATACTTTCACAGTAATGGTAGCTCCTTTTTAAGTTGATGTGTTTCTTCAAGTAGTATATTTATTTACTCTTAGGCAATCACATCAAGTCATATTTTTGCCTTGATATTTATGGTTTTTACATTATTTTTACTACAATCATTGTTCTAAGTTAAAAGTATAGCTTGTTTACATAATTATAAAGAGAAATCCTGTGTGCTAGTATTCTGTGACGTAAAGAGAAACACTAATATGGAGAGTGGAAAATCAACTCTTTTGTTGCTTAATTAAATGGATGTTTGTCCTTTGTAAATTAAGATGCTAGATTCAGAGAAACAAGTATACCATATTTGTAAGTTTTCCTGGAAATTCCGGCATAGCTTAGTGATAACAGCTTTTCCTATGAGAGTGGTCACTAACTTGCTGGCCCCAAAGCAGTAATAGTAAGCAAGAAATGGGCTCTGGGCAACATTGATTGTCTAGCCTCAATTTCAAATTTTTAATTTTCTATGAATACAAAGATTATATTGACAAGGAATGATTTGGTTAATAATCATTTCTTTATATTTTACTCTTGAGTAAAATTTTTTTTAGCTCATCACTATTTATTTGTAATAGGAGTTACGAATTAATTTTTTTACAGGGAAAAAGACCCCAAATGCTTACAAAGTAATTTATATTCTGTCTGGGCCCAAATCTACAATACGCCAGCATATCCTCATGTGGGCTTATTGAACAGTTTCACTGTATGATTTTAATAACTTTACAGAATCTCTTTTTATGTGTTGAGCGGTTTTTGCTTTACAGAAGTTAGATGATTCATTATTAAAAATTCAATTTTGTTTACCAGGGAGAGAAAGGAAAAGGGCCTTCTAAAAACATTTAGAAATATTTAATTCCTGAAAGAAATGTATTATTGTGGTTTAATAATTGATATTTCTTGTAAAAGAGAAGAGTAACTTTGTGTAGGACGATTCTTTCTTTCTCACTTCTTTCAGAAACATGATGATCAAAATTTGGGTGAATTCTGCAGGATGTTCCTGCATGTGACTCTCATATTCCTGGGTTTGTTTCTATATAAAGCTTTATAGATTGTTTCATTTTGGTATCCAATTTAGATCATAAAGAATGTAATAAAGTTAAGGTAAAGGATATAAATAATTTCATGGAAAAGCAGAGTTGAATTTGCACAGTGAAAAAGCTTTATTGCCACCACTGACAGATTGTTAGAAACCTGCTTAATCAAAATGCTGTGATTAAGTTTTTTTATTGACTTTGAAGAGAGAGGGAGAGAGAAAGAGAGAGAGAAAGATGCTGGGAGGCATTGCTGTCTTCTGTCAGCAGTACTGATACAGTAGTAAGAAATAAATTTGAGGAGATTGCTGGTTTTGGAGGCATTGGTGTTCAGTTATTTTCTGTATTATGAGGAAAGATTTTATTCTAATGATTATTTGTTTTGAAAAGTATACTGGGCTTCAAGGCTGTGCCTAATGGGGGAGATCTTAACAGTTGTGTTTCGTCTCTATCAATACATCCAAGGAAGCCAGGTTTGTGAAAAAGTAAATCAGAAGCTGCTGTACTACACAGCTGCCTGCATTGAAGGAAACAAAGGAAATCTTTCATCTTGTTGAGTCAAGTAGCTTGGTCACCTCTTTGGGGACGGTTTCCGTGGGTGATTCTGAATGCAGATGTCGTTCAATTTACAAGTGAAATTTTCACTCGGCAGAGAACAACATCAGCTTTTGTGTGACTGGGGCCTCTCTGTGCTGCTAGCTTTGTGTCTGTCTGTCCCGAGTCAGATAGCTCTCTAGGCAGATTTGTTTTGGCTGTTAATTTAAGAAGTTTGTTAGGTTATTTTCATAGCTGGAATCTTTAAGGTAAGTGTCATTATTTCCATAACTATATCTGCAATAGAAGCATTATGAACTTAGAAGAAATTTTATTTTATTTTACCTTTTGTTGGTACAATACATTGGTACACACATGGTACACACATGTAGTTTTACCTAAATAAGATGAAATAATTTTTGGAGTAGCTATATCTATCTTATCTGTATGTGCAGCCACTTCTTCCCTGCAGAGATTAATTCATATTGGTAGTGCATATATTCAAGGCATACTGATTTTTGAAGAGAGTGTTGCTTCTGTGTCTGCTATCCTTTGTGGCTAGTGGTAATATTTCAAAGGAACACGCATGCATACACACTTTGGAGTTCCCTTAATATTTATTTTAAACTCAGTCATCCAAACGAATTTGGTCCTGACATCCAGACTTTTAAGGAAACATATTTTCTCCTTTGCTGAGAAGAATGTTGTTGGAACCTCAGTTTAGCCTCTTAGAGACATGGTTGGCTAAAACTTTTTACTGGTTTTGTTTTGTTTTGGTCTGTTTACCCTGTCAATGTTAGATGTTGGCAGGGTACATCTGAATGTCTTTTACAAATGCATCAGATATTCAACAGTGTCCAGCCATGATTCATACTGTAATTCTATATTTGAAAGTGTTTTAAACTCTTCAGCTTAATTTGCTGTGTTCTGAGCAAAACATATTAATTTGACAACCTTAGACATTTGGGTAAAAATAAAGCAAGAGGAATTTTGATATCTATTTTCAAGGAGTTTTCCTTGCTTCCTTTTAAATCATTGATAGAATGGTGGAGTATCTGTCATGTGGTGCAGAAAAGAATAACAAAAACAACTGTCTATAAAAAGCTTTAACATTTTCTTTAATTGTCTTATGTTTCTATATTTTGATCTGAATAGGAATGGTTGTCTTTTTTCCATAAAGATCACACAGTGTGGTTCAAGTTTGTTGGATCAACATTCATCCTTACTCTCTTAAATAGCGATTATGCTAAAACTAATAAATGGAGCATGTTTTAGTGAAGCATGAACGCATTTCTTTTGCAGGTAATAATGAGAAAGTGTACGTGTACTAGGTGTCTTGCTAACCTCCCCCAGCAAGTGTTATGTTCATGCAAAATAAACCTTTCTCATTTTTAAATCACCTTCTTTTCCTATTTTTAGTTATCCTTTAATTGATATGTTTTTAAGACGAAAGCAAGTGGAAAATACTTGTTTAAAAAAATAAAGAAAAAAGGAACTCTGTTGGCAAGAAAGCACCTTCCTATTTGGGGAACCAAATCTGGCTTTTAGCCCGGTCCAGCAGAGGCAGCATGCTCAGCCCCAGGGAGTGGGAGGGACTGTCTCTCACTCCGCAATGGAAACTCTTTTCCCAGGCGGGAACAGGAGGTATAGGAGGGGCATTGACCAAACCTTAGAGAGGTGTGTGTGAAGATTTCCTTCAGCAGGTGGACTGGATCATCATCAGCACTGCAGTATGTTTTTTCTCTAAAAGGTAACTTACCTGAAAAAGGCCATACCTGAAAGAAAACTAAAAAGCAGAGATTTTTCTATAATTTCTTCTGTGTTGTTTCATAAACATTCTCTAAAACACCTTCGGTTTTCAACTTTGCTCTTATCTTTGAATTTTACTTCCCATTCTCCTAGGATGTTTAGACCACTGTGCTAGTCAGCATCATCTCATTGTTTGCTTGTTCTCCCTGTTTCTCTGTCTTAAAAATTTATATAGATTTTGCTTATATTTAGACTTCAGAGCAGGAGCCTTTTTTTGTTCTGCATTTTTATAATCTCTGCTGTAATACTGGTTTATAACAGGGTCTGTTAAACACAAGAGTAATAAAATAAGAGCTAACAGTAATACTTATGTTGATTAGGATTCATTTTTGAGAACTATACGTATCCACCACCTTTCAAGAATGCACAATTCTGGGTCCGGCCGCACAGCTCTGTAATAGTTGTTTTGTTGCATTTAATCTGGGATTTTTTTTTCCCCCTAACTAATGTTTTGTCATTCTGAGTATTTGCAAGCATAGTACTGATGTGGTAAAGTGAAATTCAGCTTAAAATACATATTTTAAATGAGAATAGCACTATTTAGCCTGTTGCACTTGGCCTAGTGTCATCCTCCCTGTGTCAATAGCGTATCGTTGTGAGTGTGTGTGCACCAACATATGTTATTGCCAATGCATAGATGTTTTTCGCATATAGAAACTAAGAATTCCTTTTATTTCAGCAGATTTTGCAGTATTGGATTATGATTTGCCAAAGAACCAAAAAATTATGTTCCTGGCACTTGTAGAACATTTGATTAACTTCACTGATACTGTTTAGGTATAGAGAATCATTTTCATATTTGACTTTTTTTAATGTTGAATGGAATTCAAGTTAGCCTCAGTACTGTTTTGTTTCTTTTTAATAATTATGCTATTACCTGGTTTTATTTTATTTTTTTATATTTTTTTTATATTTATTTATTTTATTATGGCTACCTGGTTTTATTTTAATCAAACTTGAGAGTATCAGATGGTCCTATTTCTGCAGGAGCTTGGGACCTGCGTAGTCTGATAATTGACAAAAATAAAGAATTGCTTCAGTGCCTGGGATACAGTTCACAAATATTAAACAGCATTTCCGATTTGCTGGTGCTAGCAGTTTCCTTCAGAATGGAATTTCAGTCTACACATAGTTTACATTAAAATACCCAAAGGCAGTATAGTAACATTGTAGTAGAATACGCTCTTATCGTTGAAGTCAGTCAGGGCTCACTGCATCCAACTTCCAATTATTCAAGTAGTTGGCTGGTACAGTTCTGGGTACTGCAGAGCTCATTGCAGTGTTTTTTCATTTTCAGTGTATCATTAGGAAAAGTTTACCAGAGCAGGGAGCAACATAAATGGTTGCAAGTCCCACGTTTAGGACCTCTTAGCGCAAGATGTGTTCCATGTCATGTAACAGGTGAGAAGTTGAGTCCTTTGCAGGCCATCTGCAATCATTGTGGCTTTATCCAGTTTTATTTGGCTTCTCTGTCCTTATCTGCCAGGAGTGAGGTCAGTGGTCATTGGCATCCTTTTGTTCAAGATGGTGATCTAACCCTGAAGTGTTTAGTTCAACTGAGAATAAGGATTGAAGTCTATTTAGGCTTAGCCTGAGTCTATAGTTAATGCCTTAGGTCATATTTTGGAGGAGGGGGACAACAAGACTGCTTCTGCGGTGTGTCAGGTCATGTTCCATGTAAACTAAGCCCTTTTATATACCCTTTCCTGTATTGAGGGATTGGGGATTTTTTTAGCTAATGTTTACTTGCCATCTTCGTAAGGGTGGTGTGCCTAGTTTTATATTCCTAAGATCAGCTTCAAATCAGATTTCTGATCAGCAATATAATTAAGTGACTGTATAGCTTTACGGAAATACTGGGATTGTTTGTGGCCTTGAGGTTGCAAATATGTTAAAGTACCTGGTTAAATCATGATACCAAACTTAAAACAAAAAATAACTTAGGGTTAATACTCTCATTTTTTTTGGCTATCATGTTCCAATGCTTTTTTTTTTTTCCAAGAAAACAAGTAACACATGAACTCACAGAAACAATGAAAGGGGCCTCCATTAATATTTTGCTCTTACATTGTTAAAAATTACAGTAAAGGAAATTCCCTTCTCACTGTAGCCCATTCCAATGTTTCATTGTTTTTTTTATTATTATTATACAGTTTTCTCCAGCACCTCCAGCATCTTTGCTGCATGTTAAGCAAATTTATTCTTATAAACATGAAGAGCAACTGATCATTGACATTTCTGCAAATGGAAAAACTGTAAACGTTTTGATTTTTTTCACAACTTCAGTTTTTCTGTTAGATGAGAGAAATCCAGTTCAGATAATCCTTATAATCATGTTTTCTAAATTCCCCTGTACTTACTGCTTTCCACTTGGATCTCTCAAGTTTGTTGATATTTACCTTAAAAGGATAATGCTCAAAACCAAACAATAAAGTAGGAGGAGCATCATTTAATACTTTTGAAAATTGCGTAATTATCAACCATTTCAAAACACTGTTACTGGTACGTCCCAGAATAAGTGTGGGTTTTTTTATTTGGATCACTAAATTTCTTTGTTGTGTTGATTTTCAGACCTGCTCTCCTAGTTCTGTTGGTACTGTTGTGTGCATAGCAGTAACCTTACCTCATCCTAATTTTAGTTCTTTCATCTTTCCAACAGAAGTTAAAATGCTAACAGTGAAAACGAAGAAACGCCTGGGATGTGGAATAAGAGTGGAGTTGACACAAACATAATAATAAAAAATGGCTGGAGGGATTGGTGCAGGGAGTCCCTGCAATAGAAAGAGATTAGGTGGCAAACGGAAGATAATCTGGTGGTGTAGAGGGATGAGAGTTCCTCTGAATGTCTGCAGTGAGCTCAGGGCAGCAGGAAATGAGTTTCCACCTCCGTGGAGGAGAGAAGAAAACCTCTTAAAATGTTCTTTCTTTTGGCACTGTCATTTAAACTGTTATGTGTGTTTAGTTCAGATTACTCAATCCAGGCTTTGCTCACCACACTTTCCAGTTTGAAAGAGCAAATGTTTGCCTATGTATTTCATGTATGATGTAGAGTTTTGCTAAATTGCATCCTATTCCTCTTTGGCAAGCTATGTGCATGTGTTGTCTGGTATCTTTTACCTTCTACTATCACTTGTTGAGAATTGCTGCTTTCACAGTCAATAGAATCACATAACATAAATTATTTTTATATTAGCATTAAGTTGAATTTTTATTAAGATCTGAGACTAATTGCTAGGTTAGAGTCCTAATGTATTGTATCTGAAAGTTAATCTTCATGATAAAACCAATAGTGAAATCTGCTGAGAGACTAGTCAGATAATGTTAGTCCTTTCCTCAGCTCTTTCTCTCTCAAGTGTGAAATCTTTGAATTTACATAATACGTGCACAGCACATAGTGGCTTCTGCTAAGACTGATTTGTCCAGTTATCTAGTTATACTTCCAAGTCATTATAATGTTCCTGCACTGAATTATCTAAGATCTCATTATTCAAGGGCATCTTCTATGGTCTGAATGTGGAAACAAGTGGAAACAAAAGTTGCTTGTTTCTAAATTGATCACTGGGTTGGTGGATAAAGAACACAAAATGGGAGAAAGATTTTTTTTTTTTAATTACTGATAAAAGTAGTAAAAAAGGCAGTAGCAAAAGGAAGTGAAGACACAATGACAAATTGGTGAAGAGGAGGCGTCGGGAAAAGAAGGGGAAAGGCTCATGAGAAAAAAAAAGATGGTCAAGGGGGAAAAAAGCATTGAAAATTAAAATGTATGATTGGATTGTTTTAAATTCAGCTGTAATTTTTAGATCTTTTGGCAATGACATCCACTCCATTGTTCTTTCAACCAAATTTGTTCAGTTAAACTAACTGTGTGCTCTAGTGTTTCTGTGACAGTTTACTTTAGACTTTGTTAGAAAAACAGTTATCGAGTACTTTAAGATCTTGTAACTTCATAAAGTATGGGTGTAACAAATTGTGTAAGCGAGCTTCCTCTTCAACCTTGGCATGGATTTTGCACCACATAGCAAAAAATTGAGGGAGTTACACATGCATATGATGTTAATACAAAATTTGATGTGAATACAAGATTTAGATGATAAAATACTGGGTAACAATGTAATGCCACTTGGCATCTTTGCCTATTGCCAACACTGGCAAAGGGCTATATGCATTACTTCCAACTATTCCTGTAATCAAATTGTTACGAATAGATAGACCCTGTGAGTACAATGAGGAGGATTTCTTTCTGCATTCCTTTATAACCCTTGAGCTACTAAAAAGGCAATGCATATACATTCCTTTTGCTTTACATTTTTTTAGAGGTTAGAGGATGTATTTTCCCTCGAAAGGAAGCCTATGATCATTTCAGAAATTCACCTTAATAAGACAGTTACTATAGCTGTTATCATCTGTCTTTTAAGGTTTAGTCATCTTCAGTAGAGAAGAACCTTCTGCTAAGATGCTGTTCTGGCGACTCAGTAGGACCACATCTGACAGGCAGTGGTTGTTGTCATATCTGGCTCACTGAAGGGTCAAGGAATTCTATTCTAGCAGTTCTTGAAGTAGATCAATTAATATATTTCCTCCTCCTCCAAATGGTAAGGCATTATCCACTATTGTAGTATCCTCTGCCCACTTTGGAAATAGCACCATTACCAACAACCTGCTAACATCTACTAAACATTTTCCAGTTGGCATTTAATCTCATAGTTATGTCAAGTTTGCATGGTCAGAATTTCAGATTTTGTGTATTTAAGTAAGTGAAATTTGTCACTCTTACTCGGCATAGTCGATGTTAACTTCTGAGATAGGTAGCAACAAGTGTAGTTCTGTTCTAAAAGTAACGAATCAAGAATATATGAGATTACAAGTGACTTTTAGAAACACACTGCAGTTGGCCTACATTTTGCAGATAAAGTTCCTCTAAAAAAAGTAAAAGAATATGTGCCTTTCAATTCCATCACATAAGCAATCATGAATAAAGTAAAGTTACAGGATTCTTCTTGCTAATAGAAGAATTTTTCTTACATTGAAGAGAATTTGTATTGTATGAATGTAAATATGTAGAAAGAAATTAAGTATTTCTAGTTACCATAGCAGCTCTCAGTTCTGTGCCATGACACATGCAGAAGCAAACATTTGTCTATTCAGACAGAATTTGCGTAGTGCTTCAAACTACCTTGTGCTATGAGTACTAGGTTGGGAAAGCTTTGTTTTAGTTAATAAACTGCTTCCTAAAACCTTATACTGAAGTAGTTTTGTTGACTGTTTAATAGCACAGCATTTCACTATATGGGGAACTTGAATATACATGTTAATCATACTCCCATACTGTGATACCTGTATCGCAGAAAAAAAAGTTCAGAACTGTGGAGGGCTGTAACCTGTAGAGTCTTAAATATGGTTTGGACTTCCATACAGGATGAGACAATAATGTGCACTGTAGACTTATGCTGGGAAATGAATGTTAGCTCTCTTACGCTAAAAGCTAATAGTCAACTTCAGGCAGTCCTTAACAGTGAGAAGCAGAGGGTTTAAAAGAACAAACTGCCTTTAAACACAAGTTAGATAAAGCCCCAGCTGACTGTGATCTTCATTGTCTAGTGTGTTTGCCAATAGGATTTGTTACCTTCAGAGAAGCATTTCCATGAGGGTGTAGGACCACAAGGAAACAGGCAGGCATTGAAGGTTCAAACGTTTTGCGTGGAGAAAGAGATGGTGAAACTGAAGTAGGAGAGAAAGGAATGAAGAAGGGATTTATCAATTATCTAGTTGGCTCTTAAAATCTAGAGCTTCTCTGATTTTATTGCTGGTGAATATTGCTTCATGCAGTAGGTTGCAGGTTTCTTTCAGCTTTTGGCCCATGAAGCTTTTGGGGTCAATGGAGTGTCACTGCAAGGATCTGTGAAAGGAAACAAAGAGCAACAAGCCTACTTGTTAGTAAATGTTGCTGTATGTGGGCAACACCTCCACTGGAGTTTTAGGTGGTACAAAACCTGAAAATGATGAAAGCCATTCTTCCAGTGTCACCGAGTTGCGTATTGTTGTACTATTCAGAGAGCCAAAGTCACATATATAAAGGTATAAATTTTTAATAATTTTTTCTAGATATTTCAATTGGGAGATTTAACATTTCAGATTGGCAGCCAATTATATGTCTGTTTGAACTATAACTAAATCCTTGCTGATGTGTATTTGTGTTGATAGATCATGTTTGTTTTCACTCTAGCTTTTCAGTAGCTCTTGTTTTGAGTATAAAAAAGTTTCTCCTTTGCATCAGAGAAACTCCCAGATTCTGGACAGATAAAACAGTTTTACTATTTTACTGCATCATCTGACTTTGATTGCAATCAAGATCAGACCAGACAATGAGGCTAAATTTGTGCTGCTTGTGAAGGATCTAAATTTTTGACTGTGACATTAAGTGGAGATTGTGTTCAGACAGTATTCTGACTCCTGTTACAGGAAACAGTTAAGAAGGAATTTGTGCACATCTGAAAAACTAGTCAGAAGAGAAAGTTTGTTTTGTCTCGCCTGCCTGACTGTGGATTAGGCTTTTGCGTAGTCTGCTTTTAAATATCAGAAGAGACGTGTTCCCTTTATACAGGCAGAAGGCAAAAAGTCTCGACTCCTACGAAGAAAGCTGCTCAACTGATAGTGAGACTACTTGACTTGTTGTGGGTACTCTCTTCACAACGTTTGTGGTGTAGCATACACAATTTAAAATAACACTTGTCTTTTTAAGGAGCAGTACTATTCTGTTAATTCGCTGTAATGTTAGTTTATGTTTACTTGCTGTATTAAGTTTTGTTAAGGCATTCGGTGCAATTGTTAAGCTTTTTAAGAGAAAGCTCTTAATTTTCTGTGTAGCAAATGCAGAAAACTGGTGTTGAGGAGTGAGACTGAGATGCAAACTATGCAAAAGCCTGGAAATTTCAAAGGTTACAACTGCTGTGGCATTTTACAACAATTACATTGTTCACTCTTTGTTTCATAGTGTACAGTATGCTTTATAAAAGAAAAATGCATTCTTAACATTTAACAAGTGAGAAAGAGTGAAGAGGAAAAGTACAACTTGACTGAGTTATTTTGTTTCTTTTCTATCATGTACATTGCTATAGCGGATTGAGAACTAATGCTAAACTTAGGTTTTTTTCATTGAATGTTCTATGATTTTTGATATCAGAAAAATTAGAAGAAATGGAGTGAAGGAAGTGAGATGATCAGCTGGAGCTAGAAAGCAGAAGTGTAAATGGGTTCAGAAAACAATCAAAGTTTCACAAAAGTAAAGTTTATCCAGAGCTTTAAACAGAAATTACATTATATGTTCAGAATGTGGAGATTTGGGGTTGTATTTCTAAGAATTCTATGTTAATCTCAGTTGGGACTTTCAGGATTTGTAGTATGAGCACGGATGTTCTTTTATCCTGTGCCCTAGTCCCTAAAAGAAAGGGAGGCTTTGTAGATTCAAGATGCTTTATGCTTTCCATTCTTTATATTCAGCAGTGTGTGTTTGTGTCCAGTCATTCATATTTATGCATATATAACTTTAATATCTTTTCAATATAATGTTAATACAGTCTTAACACAGTCTATTATTATTTCACTCTTACTACTGCTGAGAATTGCAGTTATGGATCAGGCTGTCTGTATACTAGACACTACATCTAGAACAGAAAT